TCTAGTGTATTATGCTTTCCATGTAATTTGATGAAATCTTTTTCTGGATCTTTTTCTTTCCATTTTTCATGTCATGTGTTAAATTTCCTACCCCTATCTTTTGTACTCAATAAGGAACTAGAATACTTATATGCGTTCTTTTTATAGATATGTTCTCTTTGAGATCAAATCATGAATAATTTCAAAGGTAACCTTTGTTGTTTCGGATAAACTAATGTATGTTGTAATAATACCAAATCATTTCTCTAACAATGAATGTATATAAGCCAAATCATTTCTCTGACAATGAATGTATATTATAATAACTCTTGTACTTGTGATGATTTTTCTAGGTTATAAAAAAATTCATGTGGCGGAAAGACACTTAAACCCTTAAGTCCACATGTAACCTAGAAAGGATCCATGTTTTCTCTATTAATAGCTATAAAGTATGAATATCAAGAAACCCTAGGAAACCCTACTTTAATCGAAATTACAAGAAGGTTTAGAGTTACATACATTTTGATTAATATAGCAATTAATCAGCAAAATCTTCCTTTGAATACCTTAGAAAGAAAGCACCAAAAGTTTGGATGCCTCTAAGGGCTTGTATCCAAAACTCTAATAACTAGAAAACTTGAGGAGGGGGAAGGCTAGAGAGAAAACTTGACTCTTAAGAGTAGTATGGATATTGGAAAATATGAGACCCTATGGGTCCTATTAATAGCTGATAGGAAAACTTTGGATAACCCTAATTTGAATATATGATAATAATATTTTAAATTAAATAATTATTCAACTCCTTAATTATCTCATAGGATTAATCTAGAAACCCTAATACACATAGCCAAAACCAGCAATGTAAGGTTCTAGAAAACTTATTTTGCTCAACTATTGAACGATTACAGCTTAGTCTCTACAATTCCAATTAATTTTAATTAACTCGAAATTAATCCCAATCAATTTCTAATCAATTATTGTTATTTCAAATTAATATATTAATCATATAATATATTAATAAATCATTTGTCACAATTTATTAATCATATAATAAATTAACAAATCAGTCTCTCTCCAAAAGTTATTCTATTTAATTATCGATTATGAGAGTAACCTAAAAAAGACTTTGCTTCTAATTCAAGAATATACAAATTCATTTATTGGCTAAGACACCTTAATCCAACATGTGGTTCATCATTGAATTCAATATAGTATACATAAGCTAATAAAACTACATTCGTCTACATGATCTATCACAAACATCCTTTTTTTTCATCTTTGTGTTGGCTGCTAGTTGAATCAGAAAAACTTTATTTGTAATAGACGACTTTTCATACATGTTAGACGATGCCTTGATCATTATAGACATAGTTGTCCCATTGACAATAATATAAGCAACATAATTTCGCAAACTTTAACATAACGACCATGGGCATGTCAATTCAACGTATCCCAATCTTCTTGCTTTATATTATGGTGTTATGCCCTGAGTTGACTATGGAGCTTTTTTGGTATATATAAATGATCATCGATATGTATCTTCCAAGTAAACTTTTAACTTCCAAAAGACAAATTCATTGATCATCGCCTTCTTGTCTCCAACTATATGTCTAATACCATTTATCAAGTTACGATTGAAGCCCGCTGATTTAATATACAAAAAGAAAAAACACAAAAGTTTATGTGGTTCAATCGTATCGAGTTACAATTGAAACAAACGAATTTAATATGAAAAAACAAAACAAAACAAAACAAAACAAAACAAAGAAACAAAGAAAGAAAAGTTTGTTAGAAAAATAAGGTAGAAAACAGAATATGATCATTAGATTCTTCTAGGATCGTGTTGGTTCACTTTCCGAATCAGTATTTCTCTCATATGTCTGAGTTACGAGAAATTTTATATGGGATCATCTTTAAAGGAACAATTAAAATTCTAGGCACAAAAAACTTGATCAAAACGAGAGAGAATAGTGTGTGTATGTGTGTGTGTCTATATATATATATATATATATATATATATATATATATATATATATATATATATATATATATATATATATATATTTCGTATGTTTCAAAAACGTAAGAAAATTCTTATAAGAATTAAAAACAACTGCATTCAGATAAGGCAATTAATGGTTGGATAAACACACAAATTTATAGTGAAACCCTCGAAAATTCAACAATTTCCATTAAGGTCCTTAAAGTAAATTTGTATTTTTTTTTCTAACCCGCTGACCCGGTAGCAGGACACCTATTAAGAGACGTTGCCCCTTGGAACCCCATAAGAGGGTGTCACCCTCTTGACCCCACTCTTTTGGTCGTACCGGGATCAATCTAGATTAATATACACCTCCAACCTTGTATTAAAATTTGATAACTTATTTTATTTCCTTATTTTTATTAGTTTATTTTAGATTTTTAGCTCTTTTTAATTAGTTTTGCATTGTATATTCTTTATTTTCTTTTTCATGGATCGTATCGGAGACTTTTTATTTTGCATAAGAAATTTTGCAGGATTTTGGAGCTCATTGCGGTTGCCGTTTGACTGGAGTTGGGCTTAGTGGGCTTTCCGATGCATTATTGGGCTTGGCGGATCCACCAAAGAAGATTTTGGCTTAAAAAGCTAAAGGCTTGGATGATGTGGGCTTGTGAACATAGGTCATAAACTTCTATTTTTGGGCTTGGTGCATCCATATTTGAAGCTAAATGATGATTGGTTGGTTTAAATCACATGGATATAGAGGGGACCAAAGGAATCTTTGGTAGTGGAAGGGTGGAGTGGAGGATTGAAGAGCCAATAGCATTACAGCAACACATGCGCGGGTGGAATTTTCATCGCGTGGGTACCCGCGCAACTGCCCAGTTTGGGAATTTTGGTCATTTGGCACACCATAACCTTGGGGGATCAGATCCATCAGCTACATTCTTGATTTTTCACCATTGGAGACCTGTAGGAGGCGATTTTGGAGCTTGAAGACTCGTTTCTTTTCATCTTTCCAAGATATTAGTAGTTTCTTTATGCATTTAGACTTTTGTGATTGTTTTTTTATTGCCATGAGTAGCTAAACTCTCTATATTGGTTAACTTTGGTTAAAACCTTTGAATGTTTGTGGGTTTTTGAAGGATTCATGCTAGATTATCAATTATCTTATGTTTATGGTTCTAGATCATATTTCTTATGCTTGTTTAATGGTTTGATCATGAGCTTGGCACTTGAATGAGCTAATGTTAGTTTATTTCTTTGGTTTTGTATTAAATCATTGAATTGACATAGAACATGAGCTTTATGATGGTAAAAATCATCTCTAGTTTATGAATCATAACTCATTTATGGATGTGTAAGTAGGGCTGTGCATGGGTCGATTTGGGTCGGTTTTGGACCCCAACCCAACCCAACCCGTAAATGATCGGTTTCTGGTCGGTTCGGTTTCTCGGTTTCTAATATCGGTTTGGGTGGTTTCTCGGTTTCTTGGGTTCAACCCATACACTTACGATTTTTGGGTTTAAACCCATGGGTTTTGGGTTTGAACCCATTTTCCAGAAATGTAACAATTAGTTAAATAATTAAAAAAACACTTAAGCTTCTTATTTATATATATATATATATATATATATATATATATATATATATATATATAAACATAAAATAATACTTAAAAGCATCGAGTTTGCGGGTTCGCTGGGTCGGTTTCTCGGTTTTAAAGAGGGGTCGGTTTCTCGGGTTATTGGGTCGGTTTCTGGGGGCAAAACCGAAACCGAACCCGGAAAGTCGGTTTTTACAAATTTAAAACCCACACCGTCGGTTTTGATTCGGTTTTTGTCGGTTTCTCGGTTTCTTGGTTCGGGTTTGCTCACCCCTACGTGTAAGCATTGACATCCTCTAGGAATTAGGGATTTCTTCATTCTTAAGGCTAATCAACTTCTTGGGTTCAATTGCTTCAATTAAACCCTTGATCTTGATTAAGAAGGTGTGTTGTGGGCTTCCTCAACCTCCATACTACCTAAGAGGAATCTTGGCATATCATGCTTCATGGTTGCTATAACCAATTTGGGATGAATGATAAGCTTTATGTTGAATCGTAATAATAAACACACAAATGTTCATTATGTTGAATTGCCTTAGTTAACCAACTCTCTCTAATATTTGAGCATCTCACTATCTTATTAATTGCAAGTTTTTAATTATTCAAATCTTTCAGTTTTCAAGTAATCAACCCCCCCCCCCCCCTTTAGTGTAATTGTAGTTAGTTAGTTTATTTACAATAGTTCTTTTAGATTGCATTGGTGATTGAATACAACCATTTCTCCGATGATCGATACCCCTTTTACCATTATATTACGTTTTATTTGCAAACAAATGGTATAATTTACTTAGTGGACTGAACATCCCACCAAAACTAAGATATAATCTCATTTGAAACATATATAAATCTTATTATATAAAATGAATCGGTTACACTGACACTAAAATGACTGACAAAATTTATATGATTTAATCATCCTTGCCAACGGTTGAATTAATTAAATAAGTTTCTTATTAATATGCGTGATAGGATTTATAAATAGATAACATATCTTGAAATTTCAGTCGTGATGCTTTGCCCTTGGGCTCCCTGCCTCCCATTGTTGTCACGGCAGGTTCTTTTGATGGGAGTCTCCACACCTCAACGTCCCCACGGCATCCATACCCATGAAATAATTAATTCACCATTCACTCTTTGACATGACACCCCTAACCAGTTTCGAAATAATAAAGGCTATATTACTATATATATACATATCTTAATAACTGATATCAGAAAGCAATGCAAGATATTTAACAATATCATCTATATTATGCGATCGTAAGAAATTATTACTATTTCAAACAACAGAAAACACATGCATACATCTAAAACATGATTCCAAAATGTAAGTACACACTACAAATACGGCATACGCCAGTAGCACACTTAAACATCAAGTGAAGCATACAACCTACGCAAATGCCTCCACTCCACTCACTTCACGCATCAAACCTACCCTTGGCCACCATCGGAGTTCTGCGACTTCTCCCAATTCACCCCATCAAAATGCTTCACCTCCACATGACTCAACGTTCCTGGATCCACACACCTATAAGTAATCGCTATTCCCTTATTGGATCTCGGAGTATAAAACGACGTTATCCCACAGACCTTACAAAACGTATGCTTTGCTGACTGACTGCCAAACGTATAAGTAGTCAAGAATTTTTCAGAGTCTCCAAGAAGCTCAAATCTTCCAAAAGGAACAACAAAGTGAGTGTTTCTTCTCATCGAACAGTCTGAGCAGTTACAGTTCCATGCAACGACGGTGGGTGGTGATTGAGCTCGCCATCTCACACGTCTGCAGTGGCATCCACCGTTGTGCACCACCATCTCAGTTGTCATTTTTACGATGTTATATCGTAGTTCTCGATTTGTTAATTTCGGCGTGGTATCTGGAAGTTGAGAATTACCAAGAGACCTGGATTTGTTTGGTTTAAAGATGAGAGAAGCGAAGACAACTGGTGTTACGTGGAACCGACACGTGTACTATGTCAATTACATGCGTATAAAGGGTAGCTTGTGTCACCAACCACCTCCTTTTATCGTCATCGTTTTAATTAATTTAGGATTTGATTTTTTATGAGTATGGTTATATTTTAAGTTATGAACGCAAAGATATTTAATCAATTAAAGGCGTATTCGGTACGGAGTGTTCGAGAGATTCTTGCTTCTTGCGTTTAACAAACAAAACATTCCGTGTGTGTTTTGAAGATATAGTCGCACTACAAGCTTTTAAATTTTGTTTAAACAAAACAATTCAAATCCAAATTAATCTTACTTCACGTAGTGTTTAACAAAACGCTACAAACTATTCGCTACAAGCTAATTTTATCTAACACACCCTAAACCAATTAATCGACCAAATTAAACTAAAAATCTCCATTGTAATTGACCGAATAAGTGTTGGTTACATTTATTGAACTCCAACTTATTGATATCTAAGATAAATATTAATATAGTCTTAATGAGCGTCAAAAGGTACAACTTACAAGGTATGTTGTCTTTAAAAGAATTGGTTTTATCATATAAGAAGGTTTAACGGCGAAGCTTATTGCCCATTTCCCTTCCCATTCTTTGTATTGTGACGACTAATTTATGTGAAATGGAGATTTATAAAAATAATAGAGATGTTTTCATCCTTTAAAAAATAAATAAAAAAAAGATAATCATCGTCTTCAAATCTGTCAATTTTTGGTTTTGGTATTGGAAAAATTGGAAGGGCCCTAAAGTCTTAAACCTTATAGACTATATAAGGAGCTAATGGTATAGTTTTTTGTCATACATAATAATTTATGTTTTATAAGGGTTGTACGTTATGCAAAAATATGTCATTATTGTATATGACAAAAGATTGTTGTATACAAATCAATTCTCATAGACTATCTACTTGTGCATGTGTTGGATATAAACCTAAACTAGGCCCTCTGCACCTCACGAACCCTATTGCTTGTAGAAAATCTTGTAACAAATATCTTACACAACCCTTTTTCACCAGAAAAAAAAAATTAACCACCACTTTATCCATCGATCACCACTATGCCATTGGATATTGGAAACCCTAAATTTTATCATCTAAGCTCTATCTCACCGGCAGAAAATCGAGCAACATTGAAACACCACCATTTTCTCATCTCCGACTACCACCTACAGATGTGGAAGAATAATTAAAATCTTGATGAACCCTTTTGTGTGGATCTTGAACTTATAACTGGAAAATCATTGGGTGCTTTGCAGAATGTTTTAGAAGGAAATAATTAAGGAAAATGGATTGTGTTGAAGGATAAGAGAGTTGATAACCGGAGGCGGAATTGATAAGGTGTACCATGGTCTTGAAAGTGTTTAGACCACAGGTGATACTTATTAAATCACATATACGGAATTTTTTTCCTTATATGCACTATTAAATCCTTTTTAGAGTGTTATGAGCTTCTTTCTTACAGAGTTATACCCTATTGATCATATAACTAGATAGATATTCAGTTTGTTGAGTAGACTATTGTAATGGTTGTTCATCATCTTCAGTGAAGGTTCTTCGTTGTTGGTGTGTAGGCATGTCAGTTAGAAATCCAAAATGGATCATAATAGTGAATGTATGTTTATCATTCATCCTCAATGATTATATTATGAATAATGATACGCATAGTGATAATTTTCATCATCATATCCTTGTCATACGCAAGATAGGTACCGAAGAAATGCAAAATAAGTTTCATGAACTCCATATATTAGTTCAACATCTTTTTTTGTTGGTTTTTTTTTTGTTTTTGTTTTTTTATGTTAAACAAATAACTTGTGTTTCCAAAGTTATGAAAAAGTTATTGACTTGAATACGTATAAGGTAGTCGTAAAACATCGATAATGGTAGAACTTGTTTGTTGAGTTTTTTTCATAACATCTAAGCGACAAGTCATCAGTCCAAAAAGTTTATAGATCTCCTGAATAAAGAGTTTTTTTTAACTTATTTATGGGACACATCAACTTTATTTATATTTTTATTTTTTTGAACGAATGAATTTTTATAAAAAACAAGAAAGCCTTAGCAAGAAGCTAAATGCGAAATGGAACTATTACATCATAAAGTTAAAAATGAGGTTTTGGAGTCATAAATTCCACGAAATAGAGAATTTATGTTTATGATGCACCATCCAATTAAAAGAAAAAACAACAATATCTTCAAATAACCTATCTTGTATAGGTCTTGATTGGTCAAACACACATTTATTTCTAAAGTTTCATATGGACAACCAGTTCGTGTAGATAATAACTTTCAAGATATCTTTCATATTCATACTTAAGTGAATCTTCCAAGAACAAAGATATCTCATCCACTGAATTTAACTTATACATGTCAATATCACAGCACCAATTGAATTTCTAAATCAAAGCTTTGGCTAGCGTACACTCAAGAAAAAGATGATTAACATTCTCCGCTTGATCCATGCTAATAGGACAAAGAGAAATAGGAACATCAATACATCTAGAGATTAAGTCATTTAGTTGGAAGATGATTAGGAATAGCTCTCCAACTAAAAATAGTCACTTTGATACCAATCTATCCCATCTAGTTTCAACCATGACATGAGGTAACACCATGCCATCAATTACCTCACGCATATCTTTCACCGAAAAATCGACATTGACATTATTAGTCAAATTCCACACCCAAGAATCTTTAGTCTCGAAATTGAATAGTAGTAATCAGCTCAACCATGGCCGAAAATTAGGCACTTTAGCACCTTCTCTCATATCATATCTCCAACACCAATGCCATTTATTACTCAGACGCCTATCAACAACAACACAATTAGAATCGACATCCAAAGCATCCAATCTAGGAAATAACTCAAAGAGAGGAACACTTCCACCCACACGTCCTTCCAAAACATGATATTTCTCCCATCTCTGATAGATTTCGCTAAGGTGGAAAGATGAATAATATGTTTAGAGTGTAATTTCATGATGGAATCAGTATAGACAACCAAACCCCTTTGGTAGACAAACGATAATCGGCATTAAAACCTGGATGTCGACCATGAATCAACTTTATAATATGAGCCCATAAAGCATCAGGATTAGAAACAAGTCTCCATCTCCATTTTAGCATGCGGCTTTTCTTCAAGATTAGCACCTAACTTTATTGGCTAAAATAAGTTTCCACTTAAACCAGGACATACGGCTTTTCTTCAAGTAGCGCCGAGGGAAAAGAAAAAACTGTATCCACTTCTAAACACTCTACAACTTTAATAGACATTTTAAAAAGAGAAAGATAATAAATACCCAAGGCACCAAGAACTGAATGAATAAGGATATGCCTCCGGCCAATAGACACCATGCTAGCTTTCTAACCATTAAGCTTCGAAGAAAACTTGTCAAAAATTGGTTGCCAGAGACATATTCAAGCCAACAGGAACACCAAAATACTTCTTGAAAAAAAAAAAAAAAAAAAAAAAAAATCAGCCTCACACTCGGTTACACTAGCAAAACCGAGAACCTCAGAAGTCAAGACCCCCACTTCAAAAAAAATTTGACTTGGATATTTTCGTATAAATGGATATTTATCAATTGGTCAAAAATATATAAGATTATGAAACCCACCACAACGGTTGAAAAAGTTCGACGCAAAAGTACGGAAATTTACAAGCTTTCTCAAATATATATTTTACTATTTTTGTATGTGGTGTTTGTTGTAGGATGTGAGAGATGCATGGTGGTGTTGGAAGTGGACTTTGTTAGTCACAGAAAATGACTAAGACACGGTTTGATAGTAAATCATATACAAAAAAAAAAAAAGCTAAAAAACTAAATATATACCGATCGATCATAATGGTGAACATCTAATTTAAGTTTAAGTTTAATGATAAAGCATATATATAAGAAAGACTAAATATATTAATTTGGCACTTAAAAAGTCCTTTTTAACCGCTTTATCTAAAAGACTAAAACCTTTTATAATAGAATCAAACAAAATACGTTTAACATAGAGTGTAAAAGTATGACTGCAGTTTTGTTGTGTTTAAGCTACGAAATAAATTGAAGCTTTATGAACCCAAAATCAGTCTCAATAGTCAAAACACAAAACAAAAACTACATTTTCATCATGACGTTCGAAGATGAGTAGCAACAAAACCAAAACATACATCAAAATCAAATACTCCTTACATTACAAAAACAACTGTGTTTTCCCCCCATTTATGACCATAATAACTTCCTTCGGCTAAAGGCACAGTATTTTTACAAGCATAATATTTCTTGTCAAACAGAAAAAGTATAAAAATGAAGTTTCAAATTCAATGCTCTCAAACTCAAAGTGAAGGCCACTTTATTACATCTTACATTCTCTCAAACAACTCCCCTCATTCATTTCTTAGCCAACAAAGCACTGCATTGCGCCATAATCTTGGAAGCCCTTGTAATCGCATCCGTCATATAAAAATTCTCCACCGTAACACCAAACGGCACCGCGCTCACCTTCCCACTCCCCTCCGGTTTCAACAACCCCGAAAACACCGCCGCCTCCCGCTCATCAACCCGCAATAAATTCGGCGCCACATTCTTAATCCTAGACCGGACCCCACTAATACTATCGTAAGGTAGCCGGACCCCACAAACTTCCGAAAGCGCCCTTATGATCTTCCAATCCTCTCTCGCATCACCAACAGTCGGGACAGCTGGCACAGTTTGTTGGACACACCCTTCGGTGTTCTCATACGTCCCTTCCTTCTCACTAAAAACAGTCGAAGGGAAAATCACATTCGCTCTGTAAACCCCTTTATCCCCATGATGCCCCTTGGTAGACCACAAACGCGTCTTTTGGAAGATCGTCTAAATTAGTGTCGTCGGCTCCCATTAAGTAAACGAATTTGGCTGATTCCATTCCGGAGTCGGATTCCGGGGTGAGGCCGAGGTCGAGGGCGGCAGCTTGGGCGGCGTTGAGGAGGAGGACGTTGAGGCCGTTCCATTCCGGGGTGATTAGGTTTTTGAATTTGGCGGAGAGGGAGTTGAGGAGGGAGAGGATCGCGGCGGTGTCTTGGCGGTCGAAGATTCCGGCGCCGATGATGATGGCGGGGTTTTTAGCGGTGGAGAGGGCGGCGGAGAACGGGTGGTTGCCGTCCAAGATTGCGGCTAGGGTTTCCGGAGTGGTGCCGAGGTGGTCGTGGTCGTAGTTGAAATCGGTTGGGCGGACCGATGTATCCGACTTTGGCTTTCGTGGCTCGGACTGTTTTGCGGATTCGCGCGTTCACCATTGCAGCTTCAACACGTGGCTAGAGATCCAAAATCCAAAAATAGTAATTATAAAACCAATTCATCCAAATAAAATAATATGAAAGTATATTATGTAAAATATGTTACTTACCTGAGTTCCAACAAGAAGAAAGCAATCGGCTTTTTCTAAACCACTTATGCTAGTGTTCATGAGATATCCAGAACGAAGATCGGCATCTAGATACTTCCCATTTCCTTCACACCAAATGTTATTTGATCCCATTCTGTTCAAGAAATCTTTGAGCGACATCATGGATTCAGCATCACTTAACTTTCCAGCAACCCCGACAATTTCTTCCGGTTTCACTTGGTGGAGAACTTCCGCTACCACAGCAAGAGCATCCCGCCAGCTCACCGGTTTAAAGTGGCCATCAGCACCGCGAATCATCGGATCACGGAGTCTCTGTCTCTTCAAACCGTCATAACAGAAACGGGTTTTATCCGATATCCATTCCTCATTAATGTCCTGTGAGGTTAAGAAATCGATTTCAGAAATTGTGGAAGGGTAAAATGGTCATTTTGTGGGGGTGAGAAATATAGTACCTCGTTTAAGCGTGGGACAATGCGCATGACTTCGGGGCCTCGACTGTCGATACGGATGTTGGAGCCAACAGCATCTGTGACATCGATGGTTTCGGTTCCTTTTAACTCCCAATTTCTTGCTTTGAAAGCAAAGGGTTTTGAAGTTAAGGCACCTACAGGACAAATATCGATTACATTTCCTGAAAGTTCACTAGTCATAAGTTTCTCAACATATGTTCCAATTTCTTCTCCACTTCCACGTCCCAACATCCCAAGATCTTGGACTCCGGCTATTTCACTTGCAAATCTCACGCATCTGGTCAACGAAAGTCAACAGGATTAATAATCAAAGTTGAAGATT